GGCCAGAGCACTGGGAGGAGGGCGGCGAGCCCGCCGGGGCTCCGCTCTCCCCGGCGGCCAGAGCACTGGGAGGAGGGCGGCGAGCCCGCCGCGGCTCCGCTCTCCCCGGCGGCCAGAGTACCGAGGAAGGGCGGCGAGCCCGCCGCGGCTCCGCTCTCCCCGGCGGCCGGAGCACTGCGGGGAGGGCGGCGAGCCCAGTCGCAGCCCCGCTCTCGGGCCAGAGCGCCGCGCCGCGCTGCCCCCCTCCAGGTGCCGCCCCAAGCACATGCTTGGTGGGCTGGTGCCTGGAGCCGGCCCTGGGCCTCACGGTCCTGCCACTTCTCTCCCACCCCGAAAAGGGCAGTGGAGAGAGTCCTCCAAACTGCCTAGAATGGCTGTATGGGACGCAGCCAATCAGAAGGGGCTGCAGGGAGCAGCCAATCAGGGCCCAGCAGGCTAGTATAAAAAGAGCTGCAGGGTCAGAGTGAGTTCAGTTCCTGGAGTTGGAGGAGTGTGGGTGGTGTGCCTGGCTGGCTGAGGGAACTACAGGACCTTGAACAGAGCAGTGCTAGCAGAGATAGGGGGAGGGGAGCAAGACGGCGTTCTGGGCTGGCTGCTGGGACTCAACCAGGACAAGGCCCTGAGATAATGGTGAAGAATGTGCTGGGGCCAGGGAAAGTGGCCCAGGGAATTGTAGCAGTGATGCAGTTTATTTAAAGGAATGCAGTGGATGGCTGCTATCTATAAGGTCCCTAGGCTGGGATTGGGAGTAGTGGATGGGCCCGCATGTTCCCCCTGCCACCACCATTAGCCATTGGGGAAGTGGCCTGGACTTTTGATGCACCCCAGAAGGGGGAACTGAATTCTTTTAGTGGCCCAGCAGGAGAGCTGGGTCCAGAAGGGCCCCAAGAGGGCGAAAACGTTGCCTCCAGGGAGGGAGCCCTGGGGCACGGTTCTATATCAGAGCAGGGACAATTTGAGAGAGTATAGAAGGGGCTGAGAGACCGTTTGAACCAGAGTACTATGATAAGCCTTGCTGGACTGATTGAAGAGCAAGCCCAAGGATAGGGCTGCAGGTAAAGAGATGTTACAGAGGGCACTGAGAGAGGCCTCTGTTGGACTTGTACACCGGAAGGTACGGCTTTTTATTTCAAATACAGACTGTGTGTGACTTGGCTGGAGGGCTCAGTTGCTGAAGACTCACCGCAAGGCATACAGAAAGGGTGGGCACACGCACTCTGCCAATGGGGGTGCTTGCGAGAGGTGAGTGCCACCCTGTTACAGTTGGCAATGAGGCTTTGGCCTCTACTGCATTGAGGTAGGCCCCAATAAATTCTAGGTGCTGTGCAGGTATCAGTATTGATTTTTTAATGTTTGGTTGGAGGCCTACTTGTGAGGAAAGGGCCATTGTCCTTTGTGTTGCTGCTATGTTATCATCTCGAGAGGGGGCTTTGAATAAACAAATCATTCAAGTATGGGAATATCATAATTCCCTGTTTGCAGAAGTGCATGGAGAACACTCCGGGTGCCACAGAAAGGCCAAACAGAAGTACCTTGTACTGGTAGTGATCCTGCTCCAGAACGAATCTGAGGAATCTCCTGTTTGATGGATGTATGGTGATGTGGAAATATGCATACTGGAGGTTGAGGGTTAAGAACCAATCCCCTGTTCCAGCGCTAGGATTATTGTTGCTAATGTGACCATTCTGAATTAGTGTACTTTGATGAGTTTCTCAAATCTAGAATGAGTGTCCACTGACCGTTCTTTCTCGAGATTAGGAAATAGTTGGAATAAAAGCCAACCCCTCTGTGTTGTATCGAAACAGGTTCAACAGCACCCAAGGGCAGGAGGTGGTTTATTTCCTTCCATAAAAGGTTCTAATGAGAGAGGTCCCTGAAGTAGGATGGGGAGAGAGGGCGGGAAGGAGGGAGGGAAATAAATTGAACTGAGTATCTGGTGCTGATAATTTCTAACATCCACTTATCTGAGGTGATACTCTGCCATATTGGGTAGAATGGGGTCAGGCAGTCTCCAAACTGATGGTGGTTGAAGCAGATGGGACTGGGGAAAGCAGTGGAGGTGAGATGGAGGTGGCCTACATTTCGTAACCCTCTGTCTTTGCAAATCATATGGTCTCTGCAGAGGAACGTATGGAGCAGGTCTCTATCACTGTGCAGAATGATATTTATTTGGGCTTCTCTTTTGCGCAGGCATGTAGATACGTAAAGACTGAATCCTTTAAGGAATGAAGGGATTCATCCATCTTGTCCACAGTTTCGATTCTTTGAAGGGAAGATCTTCAACCATAGATTGTATCTCTTCAGGAAATCCCGAGAGGTGAAGCCATGATGCCCTTCGCATGACTACAACTGGAGACATCTATCGGGCAGCTGGGTCGGCTGTGTCTAAGGAAGCTTGTAAGGCCATTCTAACCAGAAGGTGACCTTCGAGATAATTGCCTAGAATTGTTGGGTTCCCCCCTCAAAGATGACTAAATTTATTGAGTCATATTTGAATAGTTGGTGTAACTGAATTTGGCCATCAGTGCTTCATAATTGGCAATTTAAAATTGCAGAGTCGCTGATAAGTAGGCCTTGCACCCAAAATGGCCTAACCATTTCCAATCTTTATCATACGGGGTACTTCTAGTATGCATGTTGCCTGCTCCACTCATTCACTGCCTTGACCACCAACTAATTTGGAGAGGGATGTGAAAATAGAAACTCCATGTCCTTAGATGGGACATAATACTTTTTGTCTGTTCTTTTGCAGGTGGGTGGTACTGTGGCAGGTGTCTGCTAGACAGCCTGAACTGGGTCCATCAGAGCCTCATTTATGGGGAGAGCAATTTTTGATGAAGTTGATGTTTGGAGTATATCCAGTAACTTATGTTAAGACTCTATAACTTCTTCCAAAGATATGTGTAGTGAGTCTGCAATTCTCTCAAATAGTTCTTGGAACTGATTAAAATCATTGGCTGTCGGTGGAGAAGGCATGATAGTATTTTCTTATCCTCTCCGGACAAAGCTGGTTGGTGGGGTGACTTCCTGATCCAGCCTCTCCTCCTGGTCCTCAAAAGTCTTGTCCTGAGGTTGGGGGAGGGGGGGCGGAGGAAGCGGGGTCTACTTAACGAGGCTGATGGGGAGCATCTTGAGCTCTCTATGGGTGCTAGGAGGCCTGGAAAATTGTTGCCTGTATGTAAGCCCATGGATCCCAGTAAGGCCATTGTTGTCGGAATGGCATGTGTGGCATCCATGTATGTCTGTACCATCTATGTGCATAACCCTCAGGCTGATATCTGGTCTTTACCAATGGGTCTGGTCTAGTAGTTGTCTGAGGTGGGGAGAGGAGTATTGCTGAGAAAGAAGTAAATATCCTTTTCCTCATCATCATCGTCCTCACTAGATAAGGGAGAAGATCTGGATGGTGGTTTTGAATGTGAGAGTGCCGAGCACACTGGGGATGTGATGTGTACCAGAGCAATATCGGTACCGAGGAGATTCCGGTATTTCAGATACCAATAAGTTGTAGCCTTTTATTTTATTTTATTTCGAGTTAATTTTGTAACGTGGTATTACACCAACCTGGGTTCGGCTCTGGTGGCTACAGTTTCAAGCTCAGAGTGAAAGTCACCTCTGCTACTTGTTTTAGACTTAGAGTCTCTAGGAACACAAAGACCAAGGATAGTGACACTCATACATTTACAAGTACAAGGTTTAGTCTGTGTTTCAAGTTTTATTAAAGTTATGATTACCCAAGCATACAGAAATCCTATAAAGACCTATGCACAAGTTACAAATATACCTCCTTAACGATATTCTTAAACTCTGATGGCTGCCTTGCCAATTGATCATCAGTAGAGGGATAGTTCCTGCTAGAGTTTTCCCATAAGGAACTCAACTTTCCCAATCTGGGCACCCTCTTTTTATAATGTGATTCTGACTATACCTCATTAGCATTTATGGATATAGTGCACCCTGCGATTAGGGCATGTGTTAGAAAAATGTGACTACCAGGTATCTTGTAAGCAAAAAATTACTCTTATTGTTAATTTTTTGCAATACCACCCATACACACATCTTTTCCTGTAATCTTGTAGCCTAGTATGGCTAAGCTAAAATCCTACAGGCCTCAGCCTGTACGCCTTGTGTTTCAGCCCTACTTACTTAGATACATAATATATACTTATCCCTTCTGGCTACCAATCAATCTTATATTTCTATAATCCTACAATTTAAATCTATTGAGAATACAATGATTATATATGACATAGCATGTTAATCATAACATCACACAATACATGAATTATAAAATGAACTAACTGGCTATAAAGTTCTTCTGAAAACAGAATTCTTGTGGTACCACATGGAGACATTAGCAGTAGTACCAGTCTAGTTGAAGTGGTTGTCAGTGCCAATGGGGCTCTGTGCTCCGCTAAGGGATTGGTAAATTGTTGCGGTGCCAATCTGCTTGGTGCTGCATGTCTGAGTGGCTCAGTCAATGCCAGCATGGAAGAGCTAGGCTTATCGCTGCCACTCCTTTCTGAGTCCACCCTCTTAGGGTCCTTGGCGTTAATGGTACCAGCGATATCTGAGGATCCCACCGACTCAAAGGTGTTCAACCTTGCTCTGGCCAGTACCCATATCATCAAGCACGCTGGGGATCTTTTCTTTTTAGCATGTTCCCTGGTAGAAGAGGTTGTTGTCCTCTTGGTGGCCTTTTGTGAGGATTGCAGCAGTTTCCTCTGTGAGGGAAGCAGGGAATGTTTCTCTGAACCTGTCGTTGGGGTCAATGGGGACCAGTACTCAGACGGAGTCTCTGGGCCCAGGTTGGAAGCTGGACGCAGCGAGCTCTCCATCATGGTAAATTTTAACTTGAACACTTTGACTTTTCTGCTGCATAACTTGAGGTTGAGGCAATGTATATACTTTTGTGGTGTGCGTGCCTCTCCTAGACAGCAGATGCATCAAGAGCACCCATTGCTGATGGGGATAGCCTCCCGGCAAGAGAGACACTGTCTGAATTTGGAGTATCCGGACATGTCCCTCTTTCCTGGTATCTTTCCCTAACGGGAAGGAGCATTGTGGAGAAAACTACACTACTCTACAGATAACAGATTCTTAGCAGAATTTTTTTTTTAAAACAAGAAATAAGTAAATGAGGGAAGAGCATAGTTCTAACTAACTCTATCACTACAACAATAACAACACAACACTAAATAGGCTCTGCTGAGAACTCTGTCTCAGGCCAAAGGCAGTAGAGAAAGAAGGAACTGAAGGCACTTTGGCCACACGGTGCTATATAGCCACCAAAAGCGGCACGAAATGCGGCATGTGCAGCCCAAACGGGCACAGCTACCAAAAATCTCTGATCACAGGCACAGGGATGTAGACTCACCTAAAGTGGAGCACCCATATTGGATACTACTTGAAGAAGAAGCATTTCTTATCTTTTGTAAAAAGAGTCTATTTGAAAATAAACTACTGACACTTGCCTCCTTCCTAGAAAGTTTTATTACAATAGCAATATGGGGCCAGTTTCCTACTTCTTTGAGCAGTGTTTTAAGTTTATTATTTAAAAAAATTATTTAAGTATTATCCATAATAGCTGTAGTAAGTGTTACAATGTGGGTAGCATTCTGCGTATAATTTAATTTTACTTTTTTCCCCTCATTTTGGCCAGATCTATTGATTTACTATCTATTTAGGCCCAGATTTAAGATGCCAAAATACCTTTAAAAATATGGCACTTGCTGACTCCTGCTTTCTGGAATGTCCTGGAATGCATTATATTGGGGGGAGAGAGAGAAGAAAGGGGAGAGAGCAATTGGTAATATCCTATATTTCTTCTTTGTTTAGATGAGACAGCACGTAAAAACCACTAAATTAAAATGTACCACTTGCTATTATTTCATTCACTGAAATAGAAAAAATAAGTGGTTCGATCATATAAGCCCTTCAAGGTGTGTTTAGCACAGAATAAAAACATTCTGCCACTTATCTGAAGCTTACCTAAAGTAAATCATACTTTAGCAGGACTTCTTTGAAAGCACAGCTAATGGAGCTTACACACAGCTTGCCAATTTTATTGGGTTTATGACCATTTTATGGATACCTTATCTATCCTTATAAGACAACAAATACATATTTTTGTCATTACCTTTGAAATGCCTTGTGTCCTGGATTCATCTGAAGATGTGATCAATGCCATTTGCACAATGTCAATGGACTGAGTTAGTCTCCCAATATGTGACACTTACCTTACTGCTGAAAGTAACATTATTGCTTGAATTTGAGACTTTTTAAAAATATTTAGTTTGACTAATTGCCATGTGGTGTTTTAGCTCTAGCTTTGTTATACTGTTTCAATACATATGTACAAAAGGCTCTTTGGTTGGATTCTTCCTTGAATTTACTAATAAATATGCAAAACACAGAAAAAATACTTTGAGCTAAAGACAAAAGATTCCATTGAAACAGAAATGAACATCATTTAGGGCTAAATTATGGCAGTTAGCCACAACTCTAAGCACGAAGTAGTGCAGACCTAACAGTCACAATGACCTAAAAGTATACTACATGCTTCTCTGGGTGTGCCCCCACTCTATGGCCAGCCATCTTTGTAGACTTGTGTGGACTGTTATATGACCAGGGCCTACCACTTGCCTGCTCTTTTTTGGGCAATTTGTGCTTCAACCCTTAGGGTTGCACAGAAGAAGCAGATTGTCCATAGCCTATTTGCAGGTGCACAAGAAGGTAAAGAGACATATTGGGACTTCTCTCCCTGAACATACGAGTTAGGAGCAAAGACATTTTGGGCTCTATTGGTACTGCATAAATAAACTGCTTTCAGTAAGTCATTAGCAAAAAATAATATTGTTGCCAATAAAATATTCATTAAATAACTACTAACCAGCACTCGTCCTCCAAAGATGTAACCCTTATTTCCTAGCACAGCACACGTATGAGCTGCTCGAGGCTGAGGTGGAACTCCACCCTGAAAGTACCAATACAAGATTTTTTAGAACATTAATCTATACAGTGTCAGTAAATGTCTAACTGCAAGTCAATAAAACATGAAATGCAATGGTAACGTTGAAATGTACCCCATATCTTCCAGTATCTTCTAATATGAAGGCAAAATTGCAAATGTGCAAAACTATTTGAGGGAACACCCAAAACTCCCAAGGCATTAGATGACGCATGGTGTAGTACAGTTCAGCCTTAACTAAATTCCCATGCATTTTGGTGTTCAATTTATTCTCTCAGCACCTGACTTACCAATGCTTCATTCCAGTTTTACACCAGTGAACTCCACTGATTTCTAGAGTTTCATCAATGTAAAACTACAGTAATACTGGTGGAAAAGTCCTCTAGAGCCTGTTTTTCAGAGGTGCAAAGTACCACATGTGGTCACCTCTGGGGGTGGGGGGGAAGCAGTAGCACTTAAAATGCAGGAATTTTGCAGAGGGTTTAACAAAACTTTGACTACTCAAACCTATGGAGTTGGTTTGTGGTCAGGATTTATGGTGACCCCTGGGGATAAATTTTAGACAGTAGCTTCCCCTTCTTATGCTTAAAGATCTTGTATGTTGTGAAGGTTATTTGTTTGAAAAAAAATATCCCCATGATGTAATATTGAGAAATAATAATAATGAATACCTAGCTCTTATATAATGCGCTTCATTCATAAATTTTCACTGCTTTACAAAAATCAGACTCTTAAACTTTGTATCACCAATCACCTGATGCTAGCGGGAGTTTTCCCCATGTAAAGAAAAAATAGGGATTGCAAGACCAGAGCCTTAGTTTTTAATGGAACTTTTCACTTGATGTTTGGTTTAAGAATTTTATAGAATCATAAGAAGTCACATAAAAAAATCATGAAAGTGTCAAACAATCTTATTATGTTATAATTCTTCCACTGAGATCTTAATGGAGTCTGTGTAATCTTACCAGAATTTTATGAGGCTCTACATTATCCTATAATATTAATATATAAAAATGTTCACATTACAGTTTTATTGAGAGCTCACTGAGAATATATGCCATCATTGGAACAATATTAATATAAAATAATTTCCTATATGTAAGACATCAGTTACTGCTCCTGTTCACACTGTTAAAATAAATGTTAGTCTTTCTCAGCATTAAACCCTTGATGCAACAGATTTATGAAACACAGCAACTGCATCTGCACAGTATTCATTCAAGTGTATATATCCCTTCAATATTAAACAATTTTTTCCCCACAAATATCAAAAGGCTGAAGAGCTACTCTAATGACTAGAGACCCAATTTTACAATTGGATCTGCATGGATGGAACCTGTGCCTGCTGGATCCCCCACTGAAGTCAATGGAATGCAACATGAGTTCAGGAGTCCATTAACATGGATCTGATTGCAAGATCATAGGAATGGCCATAATGGATCATGCTTGTGGTCCATCTTGTCCAGCATCCTGTTTCCAACATCAGATGACTCAGAGGAAAATGCAGGTAGGTAAATATGTGGTGATCCTAATCCTTGATAGTTAGATTGGCTTAAACCCTCATTTCAGGGTTCATCTCCCTTCCAATACTCTGTGTCAGCATTAACTACTCTAACTCTGGATATTCTTGTTATCCAGTTCCTCTTTGAATTTTACTATGTTCTTGGCATCAACAACATCCAGCAGCAATTACATCCAGTGTGGAAAAACGGCTTTGAATTTGCCGCTTTTTAGTTTCATTTAATGTTCCCTTTCTCTTGTGTTACGAGATAGGGAGAACATAAAAATGCACTCATGTTATAAGCCTGAGAAATGCCAAACATGTTCAAAATAGTTCTCCCTGACATCAGTCTCTAGAGTACAGTTATTATTCAATATGGGGTGGAGTTACAAAAATGTACAGAATGATTAAAGATTTAAAAAATACTCACTCTAATTGTTGGTTGAAACCAAGTTTGTGTGTTTGTATCAAAAGCATGAACATCGTTATGCCATCCCCAAAATATCTGCCCTTCCTAAAAAGAAGAGTAAAATATCTAAAATTAATTTTTTTCATTTACTTCATCTCATAATCTTTTTGTTTTATCAAAAGGGTTTAGGCATAAAAGTGACAAATTATTTTCTGTATTTAATCAGAGTAAGAACAGGCATGCACTAATTTTTATTTTAAAAATACACACGGGGTAAAATTTTCAAAAGTGACAAACATTTAGGAACCTAAGTCTCATTGAATGTCAATGGGATTTAGGCCCCCTAGTGCCAAAGGCACTTTTAAAAATGGCCATACTGGGTCAGACCAAAGGTCCATCTAGCCCAGTATCCTGTCTTCTGACAGTCACCAATGCCAGGTGCTTCAGAGGGAATGAACATAACAGGTCATCATCGAGTGATCCATCCCCAGTCGCCCATTCCCAGCTTCTGGCAAATAGAGGCTAGGGACACCATCCCTGCCCATCCTGGCTAATAACTATTGATGGACCTATCCTCCATGAATTTATCTAGTCTGTTTTGAACTCTGTTATAGTTTTGGCCCTCACAACATCTGGCAAAGAGTTCCACAGGTTGACTGTGCATTGTGTGAAGAAATACTTCCTTTTGTTTGTTTTAAACCTGCTGCCTATTAGTTTCATTTGGTGACCCCTAGGGAGTAAATAGCACTTCCTTATTTATTTTCTCCACATCAGTCATGATTTTATAGACCTCTATCATATCCCCACTTAGTCGTCTCTTTTTCAAGCTGAAAAGTCCCAGTCTTCTTATTCTCTCTCTATATGGAGCTGTTCCGTACCCCTAATCATTTTTGTTGCCCTTTTCTGAACCTTTTCCAATTCCAATTTATATTTTTTGAGATGGGGCAACCAGACCTGCATGAAGTATTCAAGATGTGGGTGTACCATGGATTTATACAGAGGCAATAAGACAGAAAATATATATATCCCTTTCTTAATTTTGCCACCTCACTGTTTACCGCTTTTTCCAGATCACTTATGAATATGTTTAATAGTACTGGTCCCAGTACAGACCATTGGGGGACACCACTACTTACCTCTCTCCATTCTGAAAACTCACCCATTTATTCCTACCCTTTGTTTCCTATCTTTTAACCAGTTACTGATCCATGAGAAGACCTGCCTTCTTATCCCATGGCATCTTACTTTGCTTAAGAGCCTTTGGTGAGGGTCACATGTTCTCTCAAAATCTAAGTACACTATATCCACTGAATCACCGTTGTCGAGGCCCTCAGAGAATTCTAGTAGACTGGTGAGGCATGATTTCCTTTTACAAAAATTACATTGCTTCTTCCCCAACAAATCATGTTCATCTATGTGTCTGATAATTCTGTTCTTTTGAGAATGGGATGTAGGCTCCTAAATCATTTAGGTACTTTAGAAAATATTGCCTTCAAATGTTTAGTAGGATATGCTTTGTATAAACAAAGGTTTATTCATTAGTAAGACATTTTTCTTATAGATTAATACTAACATTTGATGAAAGGGGTCTGTTCTCTCCTTGATGTATCCAACTCTCATTAATGGCAACAACAGTTGAACATGCATAATGATTAAACAGACTTCTATGTCATTTTCTAATTATGAATATTGTAACCAGAGCCATCCCTTAGGTATGGTGATTCAGGGCGACTGCCATGGATCCTGTGTTTTGGAGGGCCCTGTGCTTCGATAAAATCATGAAGAGCTGGGCAGGGAGGTGAGGCAGGAGGCGGGGGAGCAGGGTGAGGAGGTGAACAGGGAGGCGAGCAGCAGGCGGACGGCGAGGAGGAGAGCAGCGGGCGAGTGGGTGGGGGCAAGGAGGAGAGCGGCGGCCACCGGCAGCCCCCCTACCAGAACCTCCTCCCAGCGCCTCCTGCCCGCCAATCAGCGCCTCCCCCTCCCTCTCAGCACCTACTGTGGATCAGATGTTTCATGGTGTCAGGAGGTGCTCGGGGGGAGGGGATAGGAGCGAGGGCGCAGCATACTCAGGGGAAGAGGCGGAACTGGGTGAGGAAGAGCTGAGGTGAGGCAGGGGTGGGAAGAGGCGGGGTGGGGGCGGAGCAGGGGTGTGAAGAAAGAGGGCAGGGGGCGGAGCCTTGGAGGAAGGGGTTGAGTGGGGGCGGGGCCTGGGGGAGCACCCCTCAGCAGATTAGAAACTTGGCACCTATAACCTGGGCCCCGCACTCCTGTAGGGATGGCCCTGATTGTAACAATTCACTATGGGAAACTAAGTGGTACTTTGTTCCAGACATCTTATGGTAAAGGTATTTACTTTGGATAATAAATTAAGGGAAGGTATTTGTGGACAGATAAAGCTGTCAGGCGATAAATTCCCTGCCATTACTTCAAAGAGCTCAATACTAGCATTTTCTGTGAATGGAAGCATCTAATTGGAATAGAGCTATTTCACTTTTTCTACTTTAACAGCACTTTGCTTTTACTTTATCTAGGGGAGTCCAGGCTTGGGTACTCCCAATAAATTATAAATTGAAATCACAATTAATTTTTCAAGATTCAATTCTGTATTACTGTTGATGCAATCTAATAGAAACAAACTAATGAAGGAACAGTCTAATATCAAATGGCTGCAGTACAACGTGATTATTTTACATGTCTGCTGAGATTATTGTAATGTGTAGATGTGGAAGTATGGTAAATCTAGTTTGAATTTATGAGCACACAACAACAAAAATTAGAACAGTTTTCAAAAAGTGAAATACCACTTTGCAATTATCCATAAATTTAAAACAGCTTGTATCATTAACCTTATACATTTTTAAAAAATCTCCAATGACCTAAAACATATATATAAAGCCAAAAGGACCTTTTGTGGAAGTTTCTTGAGGTGAGCAAAATTGAGCATAAAATGGAAAGCATTTTACAGTCTACTTTCCATTTTATGCTCCATTTTGCTCATCTATGGAGTCATTATTATAGCTCCATAACAACAGATATTGGAAACTTTGCTCCACTAATAGGAGAGGATTCCTCTGAAGAGAGAAAAATATTCAAACAAAAGTAAATCAACATTAATATGCCAAAACGTTTTCATTATGAAGTATCTCTAAATAATCATCTCAGGGTGAAATCCTAGCCCCATCAAAGTCAATGGAAAATTTGACATCCACTTCCATGAGGCAAGAATTTCACACCCTAGTTTAAAAAAAAAAATGGAGTATAGCCCAGAGTTTTCCTAAATCCAATCCTGGTGCAAGCAGGTATAGTTCCATTAACTTAAATCACTGTTCATCACTCCCCTGAAGAGTACCTCCACTGTACCCCATACATCCTCACAATATTGCCCACTCTACCTGCTACACAGAGGAAAGACATCAGCTTCTATTGTGTATACCCTATATAGGTGTTGTTAAACCCAATATATACACCATACTGTCCTGAGATTTCTCTTTCAATGGAGTTAACTCTACTTACTCCAGGACTGAATCTGGCTCCTTGTTTTAGTAGCTGTGGTTCATTTAATAATAAGTCATGTGTTTAATAAAACTTTTCAACAATCAGAAGGCACTATTTATTTTAAACAGTAAAAAATCTTACCCAAAATGCATCATGAACATCAAAACAATCACTCAGTTCATTGTGTTTTCTACATCCATAACCACCAAAATATATTAATCTGGAAGAACAAAAAAAAAAAAAATCTATTGAACTTCATTTGTTTTAAATTAATGTTCAATTTGATATTTTGATAAGCTATTATATTTAATTTTATCAGAAATTTCAATTCTCTCTCCTATTAATGTTTAAATGTGTAAACAAAGAAAAATATTACATACTGTATATAATTACTACACAACTTTGTGTTGCTACACACATAAACATGCCTGATACAAACGCACAAAACCAAGGAAATGAAGTTAAGCTACATGCTCTACTCTTCCACGCACAAGTTTATCACACCTCAGCACTGCCAGAACTACTACACACCACGGAACAAAGCTTAACTCTGCCCCCATTTCACCCTTCTGCACACACACACCTTTACCAGATTATATTTTTTTTACCAGTAGTGGTTGTGAACATTTGGTGCTGTAGTGGGCTGTTTTGGGAGGTGGCAGTTTGATGAGGATTTTGTACAGAAGAGAGGTTACAAGGGATGATGGAAGGCTGGCATCCCTAAGAAAGCAGAGTTACAGCAGCTCTCTAGTTATTTCCCAGTATTGTGCAAGCTTCTACGGAATACTCATCTTCAGAGTCACATCTTCTGAGGACTGATTTCAAAATGGAGCGTAGTTTGCCCCCAAAGACGTACATTTCACAAAAGTGTTGAGTTACTCACATACTTCCACCTGAAATGGGTGGATCTTCATTCTGTACATAAATTAAACTTTACTTTGAATAAATTAATTCATGCTCTTGAACACCCTGGTATCAACAGCTAAAAAGAGATGCATGGCTGCATACATCTTTATACATCTCGCAGCTAATTCAGAGTTTCAAAACCAAAATGCAGTACTAAATACTAAATGTGTTGGGTTTGGGGGTTTTTTTGTCACACCCCGGAGGACCTAGAGTCTAGAAATCAATAAGTGAATGAATTGTTTATTTTGTTCATTATATATCATGTAACTCTTATTTGTTTACAATAGCTTTTACAGCAAATAGCCCTTATATACAATTGATTTATTTCTCTGTGACCAATTCTACCACCATAGCTACCTTTAATGGTTAATATAAAATCTAAAGAAATTGTACACATTTGTTTTTTAGTTTAATATGTTCAAATAATTTAAAGAACTTTTACAACCAAGTTGGCTAAATATGCTAAGAAGCATTTACAATACAAATACCTAGCTTGTATTCTCAACTTTGCTCTTTGTAGCAGGGAGTTATTCACTGAAATACCCTTTCTTATTGTCAATATTTTTGCAAACAAATATAATTTTAAATTATACCAATATAACAATGTTTTATAGCATAATCTTTGTAATTTCATGAGCAATTAAAAATTCAGTAAATGAACTTTAACACCAGTTTAATAAGTCATCAGCTAAATAAAAAGTAATATTTAGCACCTGAATAGTGTCTTGCACCCAAGGATCTCAAAGCACTTTAAAAATAATTAAATCTCACAACAACATCTCCATAAATTAGGGTTGGTAAGTATGATTATTCCTATTTTACAGGTGGTAAAACTGAGAGACAGAGATGTTAAGAGATTTGTCCAAGGTCAGAGAGTAAGTCAGAGTCTGAATTGGACTTCCAGTTTTGTGTTCTACCTATAATATAACACTTCTTCCCTTTGATTAGTAGGGATTAAAAATACTCTTGATGTATTACCTGTCCTTATACACCCAACAGGAAAGCTTGTCACGTGGTGTAGGAGGCTGACCTTTAAAGTCTGTAATTTTTTTCCATTTATAGGTTCCATTTCTTGTTCGCAAATTAACATAATACAGCTTAAAAGAAAAATTATAATATTTTAAGTATAAAATAAATGATTTTGAAGAATCAAGCACAAATCAGCAATAGATGTGATTACAAAGAGCAAAAGAACAATAATTTTCTTATATAAAAAAAAAATCTGAGTGCAATTGACAAATTATAATGCTTATGACAGTAAGAGATTGGTTCACTGACTAATTACAAGTAAAATGCAGGAAGAAGCAGCAAAATCTCCCCCTCTCAGTTTTGATGATGCCTTTCGGGTGAAATCCTGGCCCTGCTGAAGTCAGTAAGAATTTTGCCATTGACTTCAATGGCACCACTATTTCACCTGTTAGTCTCAATCTAATGCTCTGTCCACAAGCAGTATTGATTATAAATTCAGTGTACACAGAACCTAACTAGGTGCAGAAGTGCTGCAGATTAGTTGAACTATCAAACTCATTTCACTTGTTTTCTAATCTACACTGAAATTCTGGTTTCCATTACATTAATCCACTGAATAACCCATTTTCCCCATTTCATTCCTTATTAGTATTTAATTACCTGCAATCAACAGGGAAATTAGCAGTCATATGTTAATATTAAGTAGTTATTATCTGACAATCCTAGAAAAGCAAATGCCACTTGCCCGCTAAAGAGCAAAGAAAAAGCAACAAATGTGAGGTAAGTCTAATTATGTGAGAAAAATATATTTTTCTCACAGAAATACAATTAATTTTGGAAATACTTGCAAACTTGAGAAATCAAAATAAAAAACAAAACATACCGGGCATTATCTTGCAGTCTTAACCCAGCCAAAACTCACAGTACAGTCAATAGGAGATGTACAGATGCAGAGGGACTAAAGAATCAGATCTACAATTTAAAGTATTTTAAAGTGCACCTTTTCTAAAATAAAACCAAAATCTCACCCTTAGATTTTTCCCTCTAGTTAAATGCAAGGTTAAATGCTTTGTTAAATGAAGTTCTGCATTAGTAGTCATTCGATTAAAATACACTCCAGAATTAAAAGATTACAATACCCGATTACTGTATCCTTTATCATCAAATCCGCCAAATATATACAGCTTCCCATTAATGCAAGCTCCACAACTTCCTGACATAGAAGTAGGTAGCTCTCCTTCCATTAGGTGCATTGTCCTGCCATTTAGTAAATATATTAAAATCTCATAATTTTGCTCCCAAACAAACCAAAATACATCAAAAGCAAAGCAGTACTAGTAGGAGATATAACAGGATGGGGAACACACAGTTGCTCTGGGAGGAGGGCACATTAGCAGTCTGGTCAGCACTATCAGGTGTGCTCACTGAGGACAGAATCTTTTTTGAGACTTTTTGCTGTTAGCTCTAGCAAGTCTCTACTGAGCATGTGCAAACTGCAATTTTTCAAATGCTTATAAATTGGCCAAACTTGGATGGATGTTATGACAAAAGCCATCCCCTGCCAAATTTCAAGTCCCTGCACCAAAGCATGGAGCATTTCAAAGATAAGGGCTCAATAACTTTTTAACTTGGGCAAAACAGCATATTTTTCCCTAGCCTCATTCTTAAACAGCTCAACCCATTTTGGCTGAAATTTAAAGTATTATATTATATCACAGACACCTAGCATGGAAAATTTCAGCCCACATGGCTAAAGTTTGGCAAAATTACATGCAACTAAAAATAGGGTCTGATAATGGGAAGTATCAGGCAATTTTAATAATTGGTATCGCTACTAGACCCACCTCCCCAAAATGTGTAAATACAATTTGATGTAAAACTTAAATATTATATTGCTAGTGATGTGTAAGATTTTAATCTGATTTAAATGTTTAAAATACATTATCTATGCAAACATATTTCTGATATGATTAAGTAATAACAACAAAAAGAAAGTAATCCTAAAAGGATCAAGCACTCTAATCTTGTTGTATTTAATATTCATTTTAACATAAAAGTTCATTGAGCCAGTATAAATACATAAGTGGCTCTTTACATTTAACAAGTCTTAAACTATGTTTAAAAAGTTAACATTGGAAACATCCCATTGAAAAAAAATTACTGTGCTTACATAGGTATTTTCTTATCTGAAGACATTATTCCAAAATATACATCAGATATTAAATTTTTACAGTAAATGAATGCAGGCTATTTAAGCAGCCAAGAGACATGAAACAGACCACATTTATGTATCTGAAATAATAGTCTTTTTACCATAAGTAATAATACTCAGGTGTAAATAGCACATTTTGCAAATTCATTAAATATAAATAAAATGGCTTACCATAACCCACTATCAATTTCATAGAGCCAAAGCTCATCATTAGGCAAATACACTTCATTTTCTTCAATTGACTAAAAGAAAACAAATATGCAAAATATTTCATCAGTTATGTATCATACGTCATTACAATTCAAAAATCATCAAATTACATGCTAGTTAGGAACATTTCACAATTTTTTAGTGAGACAATTCACAAAGACTGTATACAATTTTTATGCTCAATGTGTGCTCCATGATCATTTTAACTGGAACAGCTCAATAGCGCTAGTATTTTATATTTAACATTGTAAGTTCAAAACAGGTTTTTATTTTTATTTTTGAAGCATTATAAAAAATAAAGCATATATGCAGAATGGTGTCCCTATGCAATAGTTTTATTAATTGCTTAATACCAGTTCTACTCACTCACTTTCACAAGGGTAGACTGGAAAAAAAGCAAGTTTGGCTTTGCAGGAAATGAGAGAGAGAGGGAGGGGAGTAGTTCCATATTCAACTAGCAATATCAGTTTAATGCACAGTGGCCATCTTGCAGAAAATGTGAAAAGCAGTAGCAACTCAGGAAAATGATTAAGTGCAGTCAAGAAATATAGTAATTATGATTAAAAGCCAGTACATTTTGCATTGTAGTTGCAACATGAAGCAAAGCACAGCACAACCAGTACAAGAAACCACACTTAGGCAAGCTTCTTTTTTAAGGGACTACCCCAAAGTATCTCCAAAATAGAGTAAAAAGCGACAGAGTCCTGTGACACCTTATAGACTAACAGATGTATTGGAGCATAAGCTTTCGTGGGTGAATACCCACTTCGTCAGATGCATGTAGTGGAAGTTTCCAGAGGCAGGTATAAATATGCAGGCAAGAATCAGTCTAGAGAACAGAATAGAGAACAGCTATCTGCTTTTATTAGAATACTACTGATTAATAAATGTAATTAAATAACTGATCTTTCCTGGTCCCTTGAGTGGTTACTTTAACCAGTTTTCATTGTATTGTAATCCTTGCTACCCAAATACACCTATATAACATTGAAGATGACCTGCCAAGGAATAAATAATTAGGTTTGTCCCCTTTTGCTTCTTTGTGATATGGCCTTAAATACTTTTTTTAAAGGGTTTTTATGTTTTTATTTTCCCGCAATAGCAATTCAGGTCATGTCTCACCTGTGTTTCCTGAAAGTCTCTATGGATGGCTAGACAAACTGGTAAGATGATAGCAGTAAAATCATGAAGTGAAACCTTATTAATTGGAGGGGCTGGGATTTATTTTAAGACTTTCATTTTTTAAAACACCACTTTCACTCAAATACTTGAATAAAGAGTTGAAAGAAAACTTTTTTTTAAAAATGGGATTTCAATACCTTGGGCCCTTCAGTTGAGGACTCAGATCTCCCAATCAACATGTCTGTGTCCTCCAATAATGACATATTGCAAATGAGAGGCCAGATTTTAAATTTTGGATAAACAAACAAACCACCAAATAAAAAAAATAAAAAAACACACTTAAAAAACGAAGGGCTTCTTTTTATATCATAAAATAAAGAAAGGCACAAGATCACTTTTTGTTTGCTTTGCAAGCCATCTTTAATTGGGAGGATTTTCCAGGCATAATTGAGGTCTGATGACAGATATGAGTGAAAGAGGTTGTGTGTGGTGGTAGGGGGAGAGTGGAAGAGTATAGGAAAAGAAGAAGGCAGAGATATAAGATCTTAAGCTATGGAATGCCATAAAGAAGAGGTGAAGCTTAAATTTAATGCCGGAGATTGAAAACCTGGGAAGGTTTTCAAATAGGGGAGAATGGTTGGGAAAGGAAAATTATTTTGGTAACAATGGATTGAATGAATGGAGGGAAGAGATAGGAAGTCAGAGAGAAGGAGGTTGCAATATTAAGGTTGGTGATAATTATAATATGAATCAGTGTCTTTACAGTGTAGGCCTGACTTGATATGAGTAACTGGACATGGGTGAGGCCTCATTTCTTGGAAGACAGGATTAGGGAGATTAGCAGGCTGGAAACAGAACATATGCACTAGCTAAAATAAGGGGGAATCATCTAGGGAATCACTTGCAATGGACAAGATAAAATGGATAAGATAAGCATGGAACATAAGATGAGGTAGAGTAAGTCATGCATGGACAGTACATGGGCAGAGCATGCCACATAGGGACTGGTTCCTACAAAGTGAACAAGACAATTACAAAATGTCTGTTACAAAGTATAGTAAATGCAATATAATGTGTAAATGTATATAAAGGAAGAGGTTTGGTGTGTAACTTTTTATATGTGGTATGCACTGTACCCACCCCCTATGCTTAAGTCTGATGAACTCATAGTAGCTTTCCTGAATGCCAAATAAGGGAACCTGAGTGATGAGATTGGAATCAGAATGAATTCTTGGGGAACAAAGTGGAAGAGGTCTTGGGGAAACACCAAAAGGTAGCAGGAACTGAGAGCAAGGGAAAAAATACAGGAACATAGCAGAGGAAGAAGCAGAAGGATCTAGAAAAAAGTCTGGATGAAAGGAGAAAAGAATCAAAGTTAACTCCAAGGTAGTAAGCCTGTGCAATAGTTGCTTACATTAACATCTTTAGTATAACTGATGCCTTATAATTATTTCCTTCCAAATTTGGGTACTGTATTCTGAAAGTATAACTGCCACCTTTGGTTATCTACGGAACCAGACTTTTGAAAGCACCTGTTAGGTTCTGTTCTCAGATGTACAGTTTGCAACTTTCACAATGTATAAGACCACATGATGTGTAAGACCATGTGCAAATGGATTTGGGGGCTCCTGTGGTGGGAAGCCAAGCATTTATTTATATGAACAAGCCCTGAATTAATATAATTGGTGTTAAGAATAAAAATGCTGATTTCACTGAATGCTGGTCAACTGCAAAGTGTCATGCTAGTATTAATAAAGCACTTTATATCTTTAAAGAACTGTTAAAATAGTGACCTAATCCACACAACACCCTTGTGAAGTAATAAGGGCAAACTGACACGCAGACAGAGGTCAAAGCTCACATTTTCAGGAGTGTTCACTAATTTTATGTGCCCAATTTGAGACAGACTGGGAATCTGGGCCATTGTGCGTGACTTTTGGTGGTGCTGAGAACCCCACAGCTCTTCATGGGAAAACCCTTGAAAATCAGACACTAGTTGTCTCAAGTTGGTCTCCCAAAGTCAGTGAACAGAGAATTAGGGTACACAAAAATAGTAAACACCTCTGAAAATGTGTTTGCCCAAGGATATCCAGCCAGCCACTGGCAGAGGTAGTATTAACACTGAGGATTTCTCAGCTGTCTATTCTGTGCTTAGCCCTATGATAAAGAATTCTTAGACATAAAACTAGTGGAATTTGGATATTTACTTAGGCTTGATTATTCAGTAGAATATAAATGAAAATACAAGATACTGCTTGTGCTATTTGAAACATGTTACCACCTTGTACAGGCGTGGGACTAACAGAAAGGGAGACAGTGATTCTCCATATTTTGCCATTAATCTTCATTAAAACTTTCAGTGGAATGAACTGCATGCTTGTGTTTGTGCGGGGCATAGATGCCAGTGTTTGAAGATGTGATGCATGACTGGAAAATAAATAACTCAAATTCAACCCTTAAGGACATATAGGGAGATAATGTTTGTGTTTTTGTGTATTTACATATATATTGGTAGTGATCAACAATGTAATCAAACAGTCCCTGTCTATGCTGTATTCTGTTAATTCAGAGATCAAAAGGACATCTTCACATTTAAATGAATTGTAACCATAGGATATCGCTGTATTCATCTCCTAGAAATGTATAGCAAATCATCTGTGAATGGTGGAGAAACAGGCAATTGCCTGATATTAATCTGTGTGGGTAATTACCGGCGATGCTTAGGAAATGGGTCCACTTCAAAGTTCCCATGAATGCCTATTGTTTGCCAAAGGACTTCAAGCTGTCAAAGAAGGCTTGAAACTGTATAAAAAATGATTGTGGTCCTGATCCTGTTTATCTCAGATCTGCTTGAGGCTTCATGCAGGGGAAGCCTAAGCCATAAGGACTGAAATCCCAGTCCTGACTGGACGGCCCTGAATATAAACATTGGACTATAACCTATGAACTATTTCTGAAAGAACTCCGCATTTACAAAGCTCTCCCTCTCTGCTATGAATTTGAATTTCAAGATTGTACTCAAGTCTGTACATATACTGATCTTTTAACCTTACTCTCTATCTTTTCTTTTTTAATAAATTTTAGTTTAGTTAATAAGAATTGGCAGAAAGCGTGTATTTGGGTAAGAACTGAAATATTCATTAACCTGGGAAGTAATGTGTCCGATCCTTTGGGATTGGTAGAACTTTTTTATATGATGAATAAGATTTTCAGCAATCTTCATCATATTTGACTTGGGTATCTAGGGGAGGCCTGAGGCTGGGTTACTTTCAGGGAACTCAAAAAGAAGAACAGGAGTACTTGTGGCACCTTAGAGACTAACAAATTTATTAGAGCATAAGCTTTCGTGGACTACAGCCCACTTCTTCGGAT